TCAGCTTAAGTTCAATATTTGCTATTTTTCTGACCAGTGTTTCCCTTCGTATTTCAGATATATTGTCCACCTCTCAGTATATATATATATATTTTATATATATATATATATATATATATATATATATATATATATATATATAATATATATATATATATATATATATATATATATATATATATATATATATATATATATATTATATATATATACTAAATATATATATATATATATATATATATATATATATATATATATATATATATATATATATATATATATATATATATATATATATATATATATATATATATATATATATATATAATATATACATGTCGTGCCGAATATGTAAAACTGGTCAATTAGCAATAACTCTTTTAAAATTAAGTCCTTTCTAAAATTTTCTCTTATACGTTCAAAGATGATATATTTTTTTCATTAATGTTAATGTAAAAACTTTTAATTTTGCACCAAAAGAATCTTAGAAAACTTACCTAACCTTGTTATAACAAGAGTAATTTATTTTAGTCTAACCCAACTAAATATATTTTAGATTTGTTTACAGTAATTTAATACTAAACAAACACGGTGAAATATATTTTTTTCGTTAGGTTCAGAATGATTTTGGCGAAATTATTGCATACACAAATTTTTGCTTGTCCTATATGGCAAGATGAGCGTTGATATTTAAGCCAAGATCGCAAGTTCTGCCTATTCGGCACGACATATATATATATATATATATATATATATTATATATATATATATATATATATATATATATATATATATATATATATATATATATATATATATATATATATCGCCAAATTAGGCCTATTTGGCAAGGGTTCACTTTGCCAAATTAGCGGAATGAAAATTTGTTTTTGCCATAAATCAGCCGAAATCGATCTGATAATAATGGAAAAAAATGTATCAAAGATTTAATGTAATACTTAATGTTATATTAAGCGATAGCCAGGTAAAATGTACTAGTTTTACCATACAATGAGAACCTGTTAAAAATTGGTTGATTAAACACACATTGTAACAAAGTTGGTAGTGTTTACAAGGTCCCGTGTGCTCACTCTTCTCTCTCATGTATTGGTCAGACACGTAAACCTTTGGAAACTAGAATAGCCCAAAATACTCAATCAGGACAGGGCAGGAGTCGAACCTTGTCTTCAAACATGTAGGTTCCGATAATCACCCACCGGGGTGGGCTTATGCCCGGATTATTGTACCCAACAGTTCTGTCACAGAAATATAATTTAATCTGCTCTTTCTTGAAACATGACAGGAATATCATATATAACTTAGATTATGGGTTATACAAGCTCGTTAGCTATTTAGTAGTCTGTTGTACACAATCTAGATACCCATCAATTACACAACCCAGGGCAACATGGGTTTAGAACAGGTCGCTCCTGTCTGTCTCAGCTACTGGATCACTACGACAAGGTCCTAGATGCACTAGAAGACAAAAAGAATGCAGTTGTAATATACACAGACTTTGCAAAAGCCTTCGACAAGTGTGACCATGGCGTAACAGCGCACAAAATGGGTGCTAAAGGAATAACAGGAAAAGTTGGTAGATAGATCTATAACTTCCTCACAAACAGAACACAAAGAGTAGTAGTCAACAGAGTCAAGTCTAAGGCGGCTACGGTAAAAAGCTCTGTTCCGCAAGGCACAGTACTCGTTCCCATCTTGTTCCTCATCCTCATTTCTGACATAGACAAGGATGTAAGCCACAGCACCGAGTCTTCCTTTGGAGATGACACCCGAATCTGCATGACAGTGTCTTCCACTGCAGACACTGCAAGGCTCCAGGCGGACATCAACCAAATCTTTTAATGGGCTGCAGAAAACAATATGAAGTTCAACGATGAGAAATTTCAATTACTCCGATATGGTAAACATGAGAAAATCAAAACTTCATCAGAGTATAAAACAAATTCCTTCCACACAATAGAGCGAAAAACCAACGTCAAAGACCTGGGAGTGATCATGTCGGAGGATCTCACCTTCAAGGACCATAACATTGTATCAATCGCATCTGCTAGAAAAATGACAGGATGATAATGAGAACCTTCAAAACTAGGGAGGCCAAGCCCATGATGACACTCTTCAGGTCACTTGTTCTATCTAGGCTGGAATATTGCTGCACACTAACAGAACCTTTCAAGGCAGGTGAAATTGCCGACCTAGAAAATGTGCAGAGAAACTTCACGGCGCACATAACTGAGATAAAACACCTCAATTACTGGGAGCGCTTGAAGTTCCTGAACCTGTACTCCCTGGAACGCAGGCGGGAGAGATACATGATTATATACACCTGGAAAATCCTAGAGGGACTAGTACCGAACTTGCACACGAAAATCGTTCTCTCCGAAAGCAAAAGACTCGGCAGACGATGCAACATCCCCCCAATGAAAGCAGGGGTGTCACTAGCACGTTAAGAGACAACACAATAATTGTCAAGGGCCCAAGACTGTTCAACTGCCTCCCAGCATACATAAGGGGGATTATCAATAGACCCCTAGCTGTCTTCAAGGAGGCACTGGACAGGCACCTAAAGTCGGTACCTGACCAGCCGGGCTGTGGCCCGTACGTTGGATTGCGTGCAACCAGCAGTAACAGCCTGGTTGATCAGGCCTGATCCACCATGAGGCCTGGTCACAGACCGGGCCGCGTGGGTGTTGACCCTCGGAACTCTCTCCAGGTAAACTCCAGGTAAACAACGCTACACATAATCACAGGATTGTTCATTATGCCAGGTGGCTTCATGATGGATTGGTGAGGCTCGACCTGTGTCTCCGCACCAAACTCATGCTAAATATGTCGTGAATGGTGACATATAACCCGCTTAGCTGTTACTGTATAATACTTTGACAGGTACACAAGTGATAGCATAGATAGTGGAGTTAAAGGATATTCCAAGAAAAAATTTAGTTAAGTAAGTAAGTAAGTTTATTCAAGTATACACAAATAGAGTTACATAGAATTATCATACATAGCAGCATATGTGTAGAGAACCTAGGATAACCCAAAAAAGTCAGACAGAGTGACTTATTTCCACTGGGGTCCTTTTACCTTATTATTATAATATAAAGGTTATAATATTTTCTTATTATTCTACAATGAAGATAACATCTTATTATCATACTAAAA